CAGCTGTGCTGGGAGCCTGGAAACTGGGCTACAGATGACTTTATAGAGCTCACCAGTCCTCGGGCACCATCAAGAGCCGCCTGGACCTTAAGTTGCTCTCCAAAGCTAAGGCTATGATAATAATGCCTCAGGCACTTATAATGTGTGTATATGTCCACACATACATGTGTCTTTGTGTGCTTTTACTACCTGTACATTAGTAGTTTACAAGTTAGGGCATACGTTAGATGCTTCAAGAAGTTTAAAAAATTTGGATCCAAACATTTTTATAAAACATGTAATTTTTTTAAAAACATGAGTAAAAAAGCAACTTGCTGTATTTTAATCTAGTAGGGATCATCAGCAAGTTGTTACCTTATGTCAACAGGATCTCTGCCATCACTGTACAAACAGTTGAACTCTAATTGTCTGATTTTTGAAAAAAAAACTATAGTTCTCCATTAATTATTTAAAACCATTTAGAGTTACAGAGAGAATCCAGACATCTAAAATTGAACCAGGTTGTATATCACCTCCACACACAACAAGGTCCAGGCACATCTGTTCATCACATTCTCATCAAGGCTAAACAGTGAACTGTGCATAAAAAAGTAATGGCTTAGTGCTTCTTAGTGTCCTGCATTTACAGTTTTAGTACCTAGAATAAGTATTAATTGTTCATCTTATAGTTCTGTATTATAGTTTAGTATTTGGAATAAGCATTATATTGCCCAGTCTGTTATATTTATAAGAATGTGAACTGTACTTAGACACTTTTGGTAATAGAACTTTGGAACAAAATTTTTCTACTTAAATACCCTTTCAAATACAATCTGTATAAGAGTATGCAGCCATTGCCAAGTAAGCTATTTATAAATTGTTACTATATCTGGGTAAATCTGAATTTTCTGTGCTACTAAAACCAAGTGAAGATATCATATTATCTACAGCTAACCGCTCTGCAACTGTCATTCACCATGCCCAGTGTCTACTTTATATCCATATACTCACACATTCTTCCCACGGGTTACTTTATAAGCACATTTTTATTACAAATATAGTCAGAATTCAGACATTCCATTTCCATGCTACCGCTCGGCACAGGAGACCATTGTCTCATGAAGTATTCCAAGGCCTAGGGACTCCTCACCTGCCCTCCTGATTTCCACTTTTACTGCCTGATCTCTTGCTTTCCACCCTGGCACTTTTGCAGCCTGATCTTCACACCTGAATCATGGCATTTTCTGCCAATGCTCTCCAAAGGTCTCCCATTCCATTAGAATGAAAACCAAGTTCCATATAATAGTGCATGCAGCTCTGCACAGACTGACACCTCACTGACTCACAAACTTTATCTCCTACTGACCCCTCCTCACTCACACAGCCATTCTGGCTCCCCTGAGTCCTCCGAAAAAGGCCCTAGTCCTTCCCCCTAGCTCCTGCCACCTCAAGTGCTCTCTGTCCCCTCACCATTGATGTGTCATCTTCTCATTTTCCCAGTCAGTCCCTCCTTACAGCAGCCCCACAAGCTTCCTACCTCCCAGGATCTCTGTTTCCCTTTTACACTTGACACCAACTGAAATAATGCTTACTCAGATTACTTACGCATTTATCATCTGTCTCCTCCTTGAAGAGTATTAGCTTCATGAAAGCCAATAACTTTGCTTTGCTCATTTCTGTATCCCCAGAAGACTGGGAACAATGTCTGCCACAAAGGAGCTAATGCACATTTGTTGAATGAATAAAATATTCTAAATTTCAATCTATCACAAAATTTTTATCAATAAAATACCATGCTCACTTGCATCCTATCATGGGGTTGCTTCTAAGATCTTTTTCTTTTTTTAAATGAAACAAATCTGTGTAAAAATTATAAGCTCCAGTGGAAAGTTTATGTGATCCTTATAATTAGGAACTATTTATACTACTCAGCATAATACTCCAACAACCATACTGATGGCTCTAATCCAAATTTACATTTATAGGTCACTTGTCCTTTTGAAAAGAGTCTATACCCATCCATCTCCACATGTGAACAATAGAGATGGACTATTTAAAGGCAAAGTATTTTTAAGAACTTTTTCACTTTGGGTTACATCTGAAAATGACAGAACTTAAAGCCACTCGGGGCTTTCCTAAAATTATTCCTACAACAACTTTTGCCATATGTGTCTATTTCCCCAGGCTTTTGTCTCATAGTGCTGTTTCTTTTAAGTATACAATTTTTGTTACCTCCTCAACTCATAAACACAAGCATTCATTCATTTGAATATACATTTGTGGAAATATCTAACAAAGGAGCTGAAATCCTACTAAGCTCAGAGGCACCCTGGGCCAGACCACATAGCCTAGGCTCCAGGAAAATTGCTTTCTCTTTCTAGCATACACAGCTATTTGCAGTCTCCCTCTCCAGTCCCTGCCACTGGGCATGTACAGGGTTTTAAAGCAGCTTTGACTACCAAGGAATACTACAAGTTAAATTTTCATCATAGAGAAAGAGAATTTTAGAAGCCAGAAATGTCAATTATGCCAATTTTAAAATATTTTTGGTTTAATGATTTCTTTATCTTAATAATATTGCCTAGCCCATCAGGATGAAAATCTGTAGGGTGATAATTTGATCATATCTGCATTCCCCAAAGCTTACAAAATTGAAAAAGAAATCTAATACCCAGGAATGTCTGAGTAATTTACCGGCTGCTGTTAATTACAAGAGACTTTTCAGTCAAGGCATACATGTGTGTACATTTAAAAAAATTAATACATGCTTCAATAAAATAAATATAAGTTATTTTATGTGGTAGAATAAGTGCACTGGACAGGGCAGTCTAGCTGAATCCATTTCTATTTTGAAATCACCAAAATAGTCTTGTGTCCCACTAAATTTTATGTGGTTAATATAAAAGTCAAATAGGTGTTTTTTGTTTGTTTGTTTCAGGCTTTGATTCTGATAGTTCAATATGAATAAAATTTATATGCTTTAAAATACAGGCGCTTCATGTATTCTATGTATTCTCTGCAATCATGTAAAAATGAAAACCAAATTTTAATAAAAGGACAAAAGATTCCCGTATTACAAGTTTCTGAACAAAAATGAGAGCCTGGAGTCAATAAAACACAAAAATCTATCAGCTCTACTGATCTGTATGAGTTCACACTGAAAGAAAAAAAACTTCCACTTGACAGTAGTATTCTGGACACCGAACTGAAAATTACATGTCACATTTTGATCAACTCTTCTTTAATCACAGTCAGTGATTTCCATTCACAGGAACAAACTTTTTCCCTGAATTATTTATACTGAGATTTTAACCATCACCATCTCTGTAGTTTCCTCTGTTTCCTTCTTGGTCAATAATCATTCACTGATAGAAATACCAGCATGCCGTAACACAAAACCAAATTCCACAGACAAGTAATTAGCCCTTTGCTTTTCTGCTAAAAACAACAAGAAACAGAATCACAGATTTTTATAAACACTCTTTTTTTTTTTTTGACAAATCTGCTATTCAAAAGACTTGCTCAGGGCTGGAGACATTGGCAATCGACATTTCTGGCAGAACCCTACATCACACCCATCGACCAAAATCATAGAAAGTGCTGGCCATCCAGGGTCCTAGAGAGAAGTCCTCATGAGCAGCTGGGTACCACAGGATGCATCCACACTTTATTCTTTGTGTGCTGAAAATGGGCAAGTCTTCCAAAATCAAAGAATCTGAAGAAAACAGATTTTGATTTTTACTTTGTAGGGTGTTCTCATTAAATATCCTTTTGCTTTCTGAATAAAGTCCTCTGGAGAGTCTGGCAGGAGCAGCACATATCACTGCCAATGTATGACCCGTATATGTTTACTTGGGACTATTAAAGGTGCTGAAGGGCTGCTTTGTTTCAGCACTGCCTCGGGGTATTCTAACAATACCAGCCAGGATTTCAAAAGCTGTGAGCAGATTTTCAATGTCTTACCTACCTGACCACTACAGAGGACATTCATTCAACATATAACATCCAGATATGACATGATTTACATTTTTTTTTCAATTTATACTGAATTTTCACAATCCAAAGAGTCCAGGACATGGCTCTGGATCATTTACTATTTTTTAAAATATTTTTTTTAATTGTTGATGGATCTTTATTTTATTCATTTATTTATATGCGGTGCTGAGAATTGAACCCAGTGCCTCACACATGTGAGGCAAGCGCTTTACCACTGAGCCACAACCCCAGCTCTGGATCATTTACTATTGAAAGCACTGGGAATTACCTGAATTAGATAAACGTAGCAAATCAACACAAACATAATATAGTGACTTTCAAAGCAAAAAGAAAAATATATGAATTTTATCTCCATCTTGAAGTTTAAAGTCCACAAAACTGTCACATTTTATAACTAGAGGAGAGGATGGCTATTGCCTGTTCCTCCGAACAACTGATGCTACTCATACTGATTTTAAAACTTAAAAACTCAACTCTTATGAGAATTCCTCCTTGTATAATGAAGCCATAAAACTTCTCTAAATTTTACTGCAGTCAGAATTTCTCCACCTTAACCAATCCCATATAAACATTTAAAAAACCATTTAGGATCTATGACTCACATCTACAGGTATCCTTAGTTTTCACAGTGTGCTTAGTAGTGAAAGAGAACGCTCCATCTCCATTGTCTCCATCAGTCATTTTACCTTTACCAACTGGAATCCAACCAAAAGCAAACTGCAGCCACTAACATGACCAAGAAGTCATCATCACTCATGTAAAAAAAAAAAAAAAAAAAAAAAACTGAGTTTTCCCAAAATACCAGTCTCCACACCAACTGTTTCAATATTAAACATGCCTTCTGAAACGAAATCAGGACACAGGCTATCTATCCCCCAAAGAGGATCTCTGGTTGGTGTCACCTGACACTCTTCCAGGAACACCTGTCCTCTTTGGGTGGTGCGACACATGCTTTTCCTAACAGCCAAGAGATCGCAGAAGGGAATCCACGGAGACGCGAGGACTCAGAGAGCCCGGGGACTTACATTATTCATGTACTCGCTGAGCAGGTCCTGGAGCGCCTGCCTCACTGCGTTGCACTCGGCCACGATGCGCTCGCGCCTGTCGTCGCGGGTGCAGGAGGAGTCAGCCATGAGCGCAGCGCCGCTGATAATGCTCTCCAGCCTCTCCTCCAGGGACGGCCGGAACCTGGCCTCGCTGAACGTCATGGGGTCCAGGATGATCTTATTCTGAAAGATGGCAACAAAGAAATGAGCAGCGAAGGGGGATGGCTGCCCTTTTTTTTTTTTTTTTTTTTTTTTTTACTGTTTTCTAAACCATTAATATCTGAAGCCCAGGATAAGACAACCCCTGTGGAGGAGAAAACTGGTTACTGAGGCAAATTCTCAAATGGCCTTGACAAAGTGTTAACTTTTGTGCGATGTGTTTGCACCAAATGTACTCTTCTGGTTGAAGACACATCTTGTTTGAAGAATATGTTCTTGGCAAAGGCTATCTGAATAGAGCCATTTTCATGTGAGACGGTGACACTGGCTTGACATTTTTTTTTTTAAGTGCAGAAATTTCAAGGGAAAAAAAAAACCTGTTTCAGTTGAGAGGGATTATGGAAAGATTTTAGAGTTCCGACATGATTTGTCATCAGTAATGTCAGTATGCATTAGTCATGACTTGTATATATTACATCCTCCTCACGAAAAGCAGACAATCTCATGGAAGGATGTCTGTGGAAACTCAGACAAATAGCACCCAACAGGCATATTCAATGCAGGTTAATTCCTCACTAGGAACTAATTTTTTTGTGTGTGAAAATTAGTCTTATAGAAAATGATTCATGATGTGTATCTAAGTCCACATGCATTAGATTTATTGCAATTGACTGACAGTATCATGATAGAGGGATTCACATTTTTCTGAAGGAGCCTAGATAAGGGGGATAATAGTGATGGTTCCTAAAAGGAAAGAGTCACACAAAAAGGTGAGCTCAGTTTTGCCTCTGCCAAGACTGAGGAGCCTGGAAACTTGTAGGCAGAGGTGTTCACAGAAGGTTGGAAATATGCACCCAGGATTCAGGCAGTGTTAGGGTATCTGGACACAAGATAAGGAATGTCCATTTGTGAAGTCAGTCAAGTAAGAAGAGCAGACTAAAGAACATCCAGTTTATATTAGTTTCAAAGGGTATACAGAGAGACGAGAATCACAAAGAAGAGGGAAAGTGCAGTCATAACTGTAGGCATATAACCTGAAGAATTCACAGCTAAAGAGTAGAGCTGGACACTATGAATGAAAATAAACTGTGTGACACAGAAGAAGAGCTAGTGCTGCCTGAAGGCTGGATTCCTTTGGGGACCCTGCTCAAGGCCAACATGTTAACCGAAGTGGAATGACCTGCTACAGGAGAGATGGGGTGCTCATGCTTTGGGAGGTGCACACCAGAGCAGCAATGATGATGCACTGAGATTTCACGTCTTCCAATCGTAATAGCAATTATCAGGAACACAAGCAATAATAAGTGTTTGCAAGGATGTGAGGAAAAAAGTACACTTATACATTGCTGGTGGGACTGAGAATTGGTGCAACCACTCTGGAAATCAGTAAGGAGATTCCCTAAAAAACTAAGAATGGGACCACCATTTGACCCAGTTTTCCCCACTCTTTGGTATATATCCAAAGGATTTCAAATTAGCATAATATAGTAATACAGCCACATCAATGTTTTATAGCAGCACAATTCATAAGAGCTAAGTTATGGAACCAATCTAGGTGCCTCTCAACAGATAAAGAAAATGTGGTTTATATATACAATGGACTATTACTCAGGCATGAAGAAGAATGACTTTATGACATGTGCCAATAAATGGATGGATCTGGAGACTGTGATAATGAAACACTACAATGCTAAGTGAAATAAGCCAATCTCAACAAAGTTCAAATGTTCTCTATGATAATGTGGATACTAACCCATAACAACAGGGAGGTGGGGAGGAGGAGTAGAAGTTCAGTGGATTCAACATAGGGGAATGAAGGAAAGGGAGGGAGGACAGGAATAGGAAAGACAGTGGTATGAATCTGAAATAACTTTGCTGTGTTGATATATGAATATGACTCAGTGACTCTCAACATTGAGTATATCCATAAGACTGGAATCTTAATGAATATAAGGTATATTCCATGTTCATATACAAATATTGAAATAGACTCTACTGTCATGTGTAACTAAGAAGAACATAAAAAATAAAGAAATCACATGGAATACTTAGTGCAGTGTATGGATATTTGGGGACCATCATTACAGGTGAAAGTTCCAAAGGAAATCCAAGAGGGAGGCACAAGTGTAACTGCTACACCCTCCATCTGCACTAGCACTGGGTCTGCAACGACTCTTCCCAGGGGGATTCATTTATTTATCCTGCTTTTCTGTTGATAAAGAAAGACACACACACACACACACACACCTGTGCACACACACAGACACACCACACACACACACACACACTACATTTTCTTAATCATGCATTGAGAACTGACATTCTAATTATCATGAAAATATAATTAGACTACCTATTTTATAAAGATTACTGATTTTCAAAGACCTATATTATAGAAAACCATATTAATATAAAACAAAAAAATTGGTTCGGCTTTAAGATTTCAAGAGACTTTAGAATCACATATTGGCTTTCAAGATACATTTTCATTATACTTTTTTTTTTTACTAAAAATATAAAGAAGTGCCAATTTGACGGAAATATGCTGAGGTCAATTTGAACTTTTCAATAAGGGCAATTGTTAAACAGTTTCTCTGCATCGCAGAGGAGAATGTACTACTATCATCAGAGTACTATTTCCTAAATTATTTTCTATGGAACACTGAACTTAGAGATATAATGTTTCAGTGAAAAAATAAGGTTTCCTAGCCAAATGTGTTTTGAAATACTGCATTGTCCTGAGCAAATTATCATATGAAATGCTTTGGAGAGTTCTGCATTAAAGGAGTCAGTTCACTCTTTCAAATGCATGCATTATCTCTGAGAGCTTAGGAACACACTTTGGGAAATGTGGCAAGGGATATTTGGCCGAGTCAGGCCACTAAGCTCCCTACCTGCTATGGCTTGGGGCTGTCATGAAAGCAAATGTGTGAAACCTGGAGCTTGACAAACTCTGCATAAAAGTTACAGCATCCATCACATTTCTAATGGAATTATTCATTATTTATAGAGCACAAGGGAAAAGCTTTTTGAACAATCTCCCTGGAAAAGAAACAATAAATTTACAACCTGCTAATCTATATCTATGGTGCAGATGGGAAGCACTGCAATGATGGATGTGAAAGGCTAGTGGGCAGAAGCCACCCAGAGGAGAGCAGGTGGAAAGGTAAAGGACCATACACCTGGGCCTGCGTATGTGTGTGTGTGTGCACAGGCATGAGTGTACGGCGTGGGGTTAGATTCTCCTTGTGTGTCTATGAGTCTATAAGTGGAGGCGGAGTAGGGGTATGCCTGAGTAGAAGAGGCTATGCACGCGTGTGTATACTTATATGCATGCACATGTATGTGTATGGGAGGACACCTGGGGTGTGTGTCTCTGCATATCTCTGAGTCTATGAGTGGGTGGATACAGGTTGTATGCTTGGGTGGAGAAATTTAGTTAGGTGTGTGTGTGTGTGTGTGTGTGTGTGTGTGTGTGTGTGTTTAGAGAACTGGAAAGATTTCAGACTTTAGTAAATGGGGGCCGGGGGGACAAATGAGGCCAGAAGTTCAACAGCTAAAGTAAAAGAATCTGTCTCCAGTTGCTAAAAATAGGGAAAAGCAAATCACTGGAACTGAATCCTGATCAAGAAATACCCAGAAAACGAAAGTCAAACTGTAGTGAGGGAACGTGTGATGCTGCAGTATTTGGAAATGAGTAAAAAAAAACCAAACACCTCTTTCCTAACACACTTTAGTGTCTTTTCAGATCAGCAAACAATCTCTGAGCACCTATCCCCTGCCTTCTCACTTCTCCAGTTGAGCTCAGCAGGTCTCGATTTTCTGTGCAGCTGCCCTCTACTGGTGGGAATGTGCACAACGCCACAGCTCCTTCCTATTCCTGAGGGAATATTTCAAGTGGCAAGTCCAAGGCTCCTGGCCTCCTCCTTTATGACAAAAGTGTTCTTGCAAGGGGACTGATTTCATGGTGTTTCAACTGCACTGACTTATCTCAAGTCACGAAGACTTTACTTTTTAAATGTTGACATTTTTTTAATTTTCATTCTCCTTTATGTGGTGCTGGGGAATAGAACAAGGGCCTTCATGCATGTGAGCCAAGCTTCTACCACTAAGCTACATCCCCAACCCTCGTATGTGCTTTCTTAAACTCATTTAAATTTTTCTATCTTTCTCACCTTTTAGTTTTATCTTACATCATAATTTTAGTTCAATTTTAAATTATGAGTCTACATTTCTTTTAAAATTTCTAAATCTAGTTTAATTTCTTCTAATCCTTCCTCTTCTGTTTATTTGGCTTGCATATTATTTTGTGTTGTATGGGTTGTTGTTGTTGTTACTTATTTTAAATTAGCACTAGTGTTTAATTTAAAAATTAGTGTTACTAATAAAAACAAATAAAAAATAAATAAATTTTAAAAATAAATTAAAATTAGTGTTTCCATTCTTGTAGTTTATGGAGTGGCAATTGGAACATAAAGATCTAGTCACAATAATTCACACCCAGCAGAGATGGACTGAGTCCTATTCTGCACCAAGTTGGTGCTGTAGTCAGTCCTACAGCCCCACATAATTGATCTCCCATTTTCTCTGATGTTGAACTCTGTAAAAATTTTAATCTAAAATAATTCAGGAGACCATGTAGTTCAAAACTACTTCTCTGAATAATACATTTGCCTGCACTCACTACACATACGATTGTTAGAAGAGAACTGCTTTTAAATTGCTACTATCGCTCATTCTCTGTACAGAAGTTGCATGATCTAAAATTTTGGTGCAATCACAGGGCACTGAGCTAGCTTGACACAGGCTCCAACACAATGGGGGAAAGGAGAGAGATGTCAGACAGAGCCAGCAGTTGAAGGCATCCCATGTGGTGTCATGGGACCTTAGCATTACTATGTCCACCCCACTGAAAAGAAAAATGATGCTGGAGATGTTTTCCCATAGTCATTCATCTAGTAAACAAAAAGAAAAGGATTAGAATCCAAGCCTTTTGGCTTCAAACCCAGTGTTTCTCTGTACAG